TGTTTTCCCCACCATTTCTCTTGTTTTGTACTCTTGGCTCACAAGTCTGTCTCCTGCTCCAAACCAGTTGATTCTTCCTATGAGGCATATGGGCCCAGGGCCTAGATTATATTTATAAGCTGTAAGGATCTCCCCAGGCAGACTCAGTTATAAAGGAGTCGAGTCAAACAGCTACAAGGAGATGTTCAAAAACAACCTTGGAGAGGAAACACAGAGAGACAGAACATCACATATTCCTCCCATGTTAAACCTCAAAAAAACAGATATGGTTCAAAGCAGCATATAACGGGAGATGAATAGTCTTTACCCTTTAATCTCCCATGTTTTAGCAGAAGGATGAAGTGTTCTGCTGTCCTCTGGTGTATGAACACACGTGTTTAAGAATTTTTCAGGCAGGTCCCCAATGCTTTTGCACTAGTGCAAGAAAGACTATGTAAGGAAAGATCAGGCTGGGAATGGGGCACAGATGCAAGCAGTGACAAGCCTCAACCAGACAGCGAGGAAAGAACCCACCAGGATGGTAGCCGGGATGGATAAAAGGTCACATCAGAGGAAAACTCCTCATTTCTGACAGTTTTCAAGAACAAAACTGCTTGCGGTATATTGCTGTACTTACACTTCTGCTTTGTTGTTGCCCTAAGTGACTGACAGGCTTCTTCCAGCTTTGCTTCGTGGCTTTGGGTGATTCATTAAACCTTTTGTCTTATTTCCCCTTCTTGTATAAAGAAGAAAGTTGCACAGAGACTGTTAATGACTGCGTGTGCTTCCTGTCCTTTCCTCTGAAGCTGCCATCCCACAGAGGAGCAGCAAGTCACCAGAAACGTGCCCGTGGCTCTGCTGGCCCCACATCTCTGGCTATGGGGCTTCTAATCGCCTGTGCACGACTGTGTATTTGAACAAGGCTGTGCAGGAAATGTTTGTCCCAGCTACAGAAACATTTTGTTCCCGTTCTGTGTTTGAAGCAAATGGGGTTTTCTTCAGGCCTTTTTGTCTCCTGTATTTTTCAAAACAAAGGAATAAGGAAGCAAACGTGTCTGCAAGAAGCTGCATGAAACAGCCACAAGAGAGCCAATGGACTTGCTACGTAGAGGACTCCTGCTAGATGTATTGAGCACAGTTTTCCCACCTAATTCAGGCTTGTGTCTTGAAAGCAGACCTTGCACCCACAGGAGATCACCAAGCTGCAGGCAGGGCTGGGATGGTGCTTTCTTTCCCTAGAAACTGCATCCCTAGCTGAAGTTACTCCAAACTGAGACTTCCCACAGAAGGTTTCTGTTTTCATAACATGCCATTTTCCAGTGAACAATGCTTTCATCACAAAGTTCCCCACCCTGTTTGCTCACAGACTGCCAATGTGAACTTGTCTTTTGATCCCCAAGGGACTGAGGATGTGTGTGCATAAAAGACAGCCTGAGCAGATTGTGGAGAGAGGCACACCCAGCGATGGCTTTGCAGCTCTCCACAGGATTAAGGCAGCTACTGTGGCAACGCTACTGTCTGTGTGAGGGATGCAGGGCTGGGAATAGACTACATATCCTACAAAGTGACGGCTTTAGTTCTGTCTACTGGCTTAGAGACCTATATGTAGCCAGCACCTCACCTGTCCTGGAGGTTAGCATATGCCTCCTAGGCACCCTATACCTCAAATAAATAATAGCCGAATTCATAGGATGTGCCCTGTTTTATCCCAGAACAATGCAATGAACTGCAAGGCAAATTAGCAGTGTCTGTTTCCACCACCACTTCCGGGGACTGGAATTTACAGCGCATGGAAAGCTGTCCATCCAAAACGTGCTCTAGATCCTCTCAGGAAAATGATAAAGAACTCGATACAGCAGTGAAAATCTATGGGCCTGCCAACTTGCTGTCCTTAGACGTAGTCCCTACCCTTCTTCTCTCCTATCGAAGATCACCAACACAGAAAAACATGAACACAGTCTTTCAATCCCTTACCCTGCTCTGCTTTCTTCTATTTCCGTAGGCGAAGCTCAGCTCTGGCAGCCCAAGCCAGCACTCACCAGCATAGCACACAGCTGTGAATATCAGCACTCCCCAGCTGAAAGGGCAGGAGCTGCTTTGGAGAATAGCTCCATCCCGCAGAATGTGCCTCTGGTCAGGACCGTCTCCACAAAGCTCTTAGGAAAGGCTGTCTTTGTGTCTCAGTACCTCTACCTGAGGACACGGGGCAGAATTACCCATATCAAACTTAGATATATAGGTTAAACTTGTCTGTTCCCTCTCCTCCTGAGGGAGGCAAACAGGCATGTGCCAAAGGTTTGTAAATCAGAGGTCTGCACAGATGGGATGAGTCAGAAGAGTTCATCTCTGCAGCCACGAAGCACAGCAACCCAGATCAGACACCCCGCATTCGGACAGCTGCATTTAGGTTGGACACATTTTACCTTTGGCTAAAGCTAAACACAGCACACAGTGGAGGATGCAATTCCAGGCCCTGCTCTGATCAACAGCCATTCCCTCTGCTGCACTTCCTAGATACATGACTACTTGTGGTGAGCACCAACAGAGAAGCAAGACAAAGCAAAGGGTTGCCCAGCCCTTCGTCCCCTGCCAGGCTGACAGAAGGGACTGACACATGTAATCCTCCACATCAGGCCAATGCCATAAAGGATGGAAGATGCTCCAGGGGATGGCCAAGCAACTCCCTGGGGCAGTCTCTAGTCTCACAGACTACACTGCCTTGGTCCTAAAAACACCCAGTGCTTCACAACATGTGAGGCCATAGCCCTGATACTGATAAGGCCAAGCTCTTACAGGTTATTTCTCTCCATCCCAGTTGTCTGGTATTTCCACCAGACACAGTAACCTCCATCTCCTCACTGTTATTATTCTACTTAGATGACAAATACTGCCAGGTGCCTTTTCAAAGCTAAAAGCATTTCATTTGGAAATGAAATGACCTTTTCTAGCCTTATTTCAATTCCCACGAGTATTGTGAGGCTAAGACGTTTGTTAATATTAGCAAAGAATTTTGAGTTCCTTGGCTGTAATAACCGCCGTGGCAAAATAAGTTGTATTATGATGAAGAGGTTCTAGTCCAGTTAGAAAGTTGTTTCTCCCATCTGTATGAACAGACCATGCTGCTGTGTTAGGGAAGTCTGCTAGGACTCTATGAGGTTGCCACAGGCACATGAAGATGCTCCGGAACAAGCTGTGCCATTCCTCCAACTGTACTTCTCATTTTGCATATTTTGAGGGAGAAAATCAAGAATGAAAAAGGGTTCCCAGGCCCACTCGGCCAGGTTCTCACACAGAATTCCTGGTGAAACTACACACCAGAGGCACTTCATCTCAATTAAAAGTTCAATGAAGTTTAGCAGCAGATAAAAGGTTATGTGGGGCATTACACAACCATAGCATGGTTTGCCAGCAGCTGGTCACTGACCTCCAACGACTTCTTAAACACCTCCATGTGAATGAAAAATAAATGACAGTTCTATAAAGTAGAATTTTTATTCCTCAGTTAAGCTCCCTGTAAGACTGGGCTTTGCGTAACTACTTGGAAGTCCATTACTGTAATACAGATGTGGGGAAGCTGTATGTTCTACAACTTCATGTTAGGGATAGAAAATGCATTTGTCATCTCAGAATGATCTGGGCAGTTGTATGGAAATATATGTCATTAAGAGGTGGCATCATATGGTGTTGAGAAAAGCATTCCTGATTTAACACTGTGCATGAGAAGTGATGCTTCTTGTTCACAGAACTGGAAATACCTGAGGCTACTCCGTGTGCAATTCACTGTTTGAATCTGGGACATTTCTACACCAGCTATCAGTTCTGACCCTCTGCCCTGCAAGGATAACGTATGGATTTGTACTCACAGAACTATACTTATGTCTCACTTTGCTCTAATGCATTTTATAGCACACATATTTGTTATGCATATTAATAATTTAGAAGTGTATAATAGAGGCATGAAAAACTTCTTAATACCCTGGTCACAGCTCAGTTTCACTGGAACCCCTGATACACACTCAGATAAGGTGTAATCCTTCCCTTCTTTTGAAAACAGACTGAGCAAGAGCAACAAAACCATGTAAACAAACCCCACCATTCAGCCACTGGGACTGACAGTGCTTTACTGTAAGGTTTAATAGGTCATTTAACCCGTGTCTCATTTGTGGCACTACTGGGAATGACAACCTGTGCAAGCAGCCAGAGAGCTTCCACCACTCTCCTCAGCAGCACAGGGCAGTGGTTTTTGAGCCATATACCTGGCATGTGCACTGCAGCAGCACAGAATCAGTCCCTCCCCATCACACCTGAGTGCTGGCTGTATTTCCACAGGTGCCCCATAAGCACATCAGGACAACTCCCAGGGCACCTGGCACCAATCAAGCCCCGCTTATGACCCTCACAGCTGGAGCTGCTCCGGCCCAAGAGGCACTTACAGCTGGAGCAGCCCTGAACCAGGAAAAGACAGAGGTTTCCCAGGGCACAGGAGAAAGGGGGAGCATCGGTGTGTCCCCTGCCAAAACCACACTGTCCCCACCAACATGGGAGTGCTCCCCCCTGCTGAAATCATGCAAAGGCATGGACAGGCTGGAAGCCTGCACGCCTGGGTGGACCTGTCGACACCCAAATGCACGGAGATAATGCTCAGGTGACACAGAAGCAGCTGCTGCGAGAGATGAGGGAGGCAGCTGTGCTATATAACACCATCAGGGCTGCCTGAAATAGCCTATTCAAACAAGAAACTTTCTCTGTGCTCCAAGGAAAAGAGATGCCCAACAGTGGCTGCCACAAAAAGTACAGGGAGGACAGAGGTGGCATTCCAGCAGGATACACTGAGTGGCACAAAGGGAATCACAAAGTTCTAAATAACCAGGGGAGAGGGGGTAAAGACAGTGCTCCTGCAAGAGAGCCTGATTCTCAGGTGGTGTCCCTCTGCACTCCCCTTCCCCTGGAGCCCCGAGAGCCCCACCACCCTGGCCACCTTTGGGATAAGCAGGGACAGGACTGGGGGAAGGTGTTGCCACCTGATGCTCACGCAGCTCTGGCTGTGCAGGAACAGGCAATGCAGGGAAGCAGCGGGGAACAACTCGGCTCATTTCTTTGCCCCATCCCAGGCAGCAGCAACAGGAAATCCAGGAGCTCTGTGAAATGACAGGGAGGGAGGGCGAGTGAAGTCCCCTTGCCTCGGCTCGTGACGTCTCTCCTTCCTCCTTTTTTTTCTTTCCTGTCCCTATAAAGTATCTCAGAATCGCATCAAACTTCCCAGCGAAAGCAAACCGAGCCCAGCGGGGTGGGGGGGAGGCAGAGGAGAACACCTTAGGTGGGCACTGGCCATGCCCAAGCCCCACTGGCTGCCGGCTGCCGCCCCCGGGCGCTGCGGGGTGGCCCCCGGCAGGTAGCCAGGAAGGGGACGTGGGGCTGCCTCTTGCCCTGAAGTGGAGAGCTCTGCTCTTACTGCGATCCCTGCGGCACCTGCACCTCGCTGGAGGCACACAGGGAAGGGAAGGCTCTGCGAAACTCCCAAACTCCAGGCAAAGGACTGCTCGGAGCAGCGGCTCGCTGGCTACAGGAGGAAAGTTTGTGCCAAACTTTTGTGGTGCTTTTGCTCTGCTTTTTAACCCCTCGGGTTACTCAGGCTGCGCACCACTGCCGCTGCCACCCCGGGAAATAGAGAACGAGGAATAAAGTTACTGTGAAAGGGGAAAGAAAAGGGTAAAACCTGCACCTCGGGAAGAAAGGAAACAGAATCCACAGCCCAAGGATGAAGCAGTGAATGGAAAGAACGATTTAACTGGAATCAACAAGTGGGAACTCCTGCACGCCTCGTCCTTCCCCTCCCTCCCCGCTCCAGGGCGCAGCCCTCCACTAACTTGTTGCTGGAAAGAAAACTCGTCCCGGGTTGCGGACCTTTCCTCCCGCGCCTCGCAAGGGAATACCGCAGCCACCGGCGATGCTGCCCGGCCCGAGCGCCGCCCTGGCCGTCTGCGCCCTTCAGGGGCTGCTCCTGGTGCACGGTAAGACCCGTTCACACCGTGATTTCGCCGTTACCTCGGGGGGGGACGCCCCGCTCCGCGGCCGCCCCGCTCCGCACCTCAGGGCGAGTGGCGCGCGGTGGACGCTAGGAGGCGCTCAGGAGCGGCGGGCAGGCGCGGAACCGCGCCCGGCGGGGGCGCTGATGGGGATGGACCGGCTCCGGGAGCAGTGGGGATGGGGTGATGGAGCCGTGTGGGGACCGGCGCTGTGCGGCTGCAGCCCTCGAGGAAGCGCTCACCTTTCATAGCTCAGTGCCTAACTCACTCCTCATACAGCTCTGTCCCCTCCTCGGCCCAGGCGCTGGGTCAGGTTCCCGGTTCTCCAGCTGTCCTTCACCCCACTCCAAGTGCGCTGTGTCCCCCGGGAGTTACTCCCGGGTTTATAGCTGAAAAAGCCAAGAGGCAGGTTAATGAGATTTAGAAGAGCTTTTCCATCTGCCGTATGAGTTTTCATTATCTCATTAAGCGTACGGATTTTGCTGGATTACCACGCTATTCATTCAGGACACTGCACATGGTGTAAGAGAGATGGTCTGTTATTTACTGGGGAATTCCTTATGACAGTAATGGTTATTTCTTTTACATATATATATAGTGAATGTATTTCACAGCACCAGACTGGCTTCTTCAGCATATTATAATCTTCTTGTAGTTTAATATCAAGAGGACAGCTTCTGGAAACACTGTGAAGCATCACTGTTCTTGAGTTTCTTGCATTCATGCAGGGATTTAACGTATTCCTTCTGCAGAAAGGAACTGGTTTGCAAGCACTAACCCTACTGAATTCCACATATCCCCCACAGTTCCTTCCCCACTGTTGCCTACAGAATAAAGACCTAAGCCTGAGGTTGTGCTCCAAAGGGTTCATCCAGGTTAAAAACCGAAGCAGTAAACAGCATGGGTAGAAAGGAGCTGCTCTACCACAGAAACCCTGGTAGTGGTGCCTGAGCTAACCCAGAGATGTACCACAGAGTCCCATGCCACACTGTGCAGACACCGGCACCCACACCTTGAGCTGCACCTGGAGCAGTGCGGGAAGCCTGTGCAGCCCTCGGAGAATTCCCATGGCGTGCTCCATCTGCTGACACGTGCGCAGCAGCCAGCTGCACGCTGCGTTAGGCTCAATGTCAGAGGAGCCTGGAAAAGCCTTCCACAGAAAGTGTGTTACCAGGAAGGCAGTGTAAATCACTGCATGGTCATTTTCATGGATCGCAGAGAGATAATGACAAGTAGTTGGGAGAGAGGCGGAAAAGTGTCTTGCCACAAGTGTTCCTGAGGCTCTGGGATGAAGCGGAGCACAGTGCAATTAGAGGAGCTAGGTGAAAAGCCTGGCTGGAGATGCTGCCCACGTTTCAGGGCTGAGTTGGATCCTCACGTGCCAGGTTACCTTCCTAATAATTTTGGTCCTAATAATTTTGGAATTTGGTTCAGACTAGTTTTCCTATCAGTGCCAAGCACAGAGAAGGCAATGTCTGCATCCTGTGACAAGGAAAGGAAGGCAAGCACATCGCTAGCTGTCCCTGTAGGCAAAGGCTGATGATGGATTTGGAAACAGTATTATGGATGTCAGACCTTTGTCCATCATTAGGAAAAGATAATATGTTAGCACAGTCTCAGTGTGCCCTAATTAGGCTGGAAGCCAAAGTGAAACAGGACCAGGAAGTCAGAGGATTCTGGATAGCTCTGATATTATCGAGGTATTAACTCCTCAGCCACCTTTCCCTCAAAGTTCATCTCCAGCAATGATTTCGGCTATACTCTGTTTGACCTCCCAAGGCACAGACCTATTCTGCACGCTGCAGGTTAATCCTGCTCCGAGATCTTTGTGGTCAAATTTAGGCAGAGTTGCACTGAAGAACCTGACTGATTCAAAGCCAAACAATTTCCTCTGCAATGCAGACAGAAGATTTTACAAGTGCGAAGGACACTCAGTACCTGAGGTGCTGTGGGAGGGCAGTGAGGTGCAGGGGATCCATCCCATTAGGACCTTGCAGGTCCCCAAAACTCTCTCAGCTCAAACCAAACCTCAGCACAGGAGTCTGAGTGTCCTTTCCTCCTGTAGTAGCAGCTGATTGCAACCTCTGTCCTTATGCTCTGCATGCTGCTCAGTGGCTGGCCAAGGCTGCCTAGGCGTACCAGGGATGCCAGAGGACAGAAGTGAACCATAGCCTTCAAATTCATCCAGATCAAAGGATGAATTTGGATGAAAAGGATGAAGTTCTCTACTCCTGACTCTGTGCTTTCAATCCTTGTGGGTATTTATCAGGGTGAAGAGACCTCCCAATAATTTCCTGCCTTGTTATAAAACATACCTTCAAAATCTTTTATGCACCTTTAAATTTACTAAGACACTTCCACACCTGTCGTTACATTTCCACTTTCTTTTTGCTTATGACACAGCTTATGTCACTCCTTGGAGTAACAGTTAGATCTTTCTTCTCAGAACTTATGATGTAGTAATTACTGTGCAGCTGGCACATGTTTTGGGTATGGAGTGAGTTGGTTAAAAAGCAGCCCTTTAAACAACAATCTGCAAAGACTCTTTACACTAGCAACACCTTGTATCTTGCATCAAAAATTTAGTATCTTTTACCCTCTGATGTTATCATTAAGAAGATTTTAATATATGAGCAATCCAAATAACTCTTCAGGTGTTGGGGTAAACTCAGTAATTGCAGTGATTTAGTACTGGAAAATGAACAAGATTAAAGAACAGAACTTAGGTCCTGCCTGATCCCTTTGAAATTAAAGCACGTTTTAAATTGACTTTTTTCTTCTTTCAGTTTGCAACCTCTTCTACAAATAGAGTAGAATGGGCAGTTTGCCTTGCTATCATACACATTTCACTTACACCATGTCTCAGGAATTGAGTCAAAAGGTTCGGGAGCTTCAGCTTTCCCAGTTTGCCGGCCAGGATGCTCGCTATGCTGTCGTGGGGCCGGAGGCTCCAGTCAGTGCTGGGAGGCTGAGGACTGGCCAGCTGACAATCCTGGCTGTCTATCGGTTCTAGCAAACCAGAAATGTGTCTCCTAATTGGTGTTATTCCTAAACATTTGCTTTACTGTGGGAAAATGTTATAAAAAGCAGAGGAGCCTTTTTTTCAGGCTGTGATATATGAGCCTCCTGCCTGAAGCTGCCACACTGGAAACCGACTGGAAATCTCCTTGCACTAATTCATCCATTTAAGGCAAGGAAAAAAATGTCAAGTATTTCTGAATACTCCCTGACTTCTGAAAAACAGCACTGTACCCAAACGAATACTGCGAATACAACCCAGGCTGTCTGGGGAAGGCTGCTGTTATAACAACTTATAGTATATTCTTTAAACAATATTTATCTGCTCATGTTTCCCCATAGGACGGCTAATAGGTGTCTAAGTGAGAGCAAGGGGGTGCATCTGAGTTATCTCTGTCCTTTCATACATTCTTTGAACTGTTCACTTTATGATGAATTATTTGTACAAAGCAATAGCTCAGTCTGCTCCAGTTTGAAGTCATGTATTGAGTTGGGCTGAATACATAATACTTCTGTAGGTTTATGCACAAGGGCAAAAGGTTTCCAGTCGCAGGAGATTTCTTAGGTGCAGTCAGCGATAGGTGGTCTGTGTTTTTCCTATGTCTGCCTTCCCAACCGACAATGTGGTTTGAAGGAGGCTGAAGATGCCCTATGCCATGTATGTTCGGAGATGAAACACGTCTTTTGCTCCCAAAGACATGTGCAAAGTGTATGCAGGAAGGGTCACTTGACCAGCAGCACAGGAGGGGATGAACAGAGAAGCTGCTTTCAGTTTACACTGCAGAACAGCAGCAGCAAGCTGCAGTTTTTAACACTACACAGGAGATTGCCAGGAGGCAGCGTCTGACTTTCAGAGTGAGCATGAGAAAAACACTGAAGCTCAGCCCTGCCTGCTTCGTTTGATATTTCCTCTGCTCAGCCTTGCTCCACCTTCCCTTTCTTCTCCTAACCGGCCTGATGCCACTGGAATGGGAATTACAAGTGGAAGTAATTAAAAGATGTTTGGAGTGTCTAACCAACAGCTAGGAACAAAATAGATGTGTCCCTAGTGTTTTCCTTCAGACACCAGCTCAGATGACTGACAGGATATGAAGGCTTCTGAGTGCTAATCAAGACATTCCTGTGCCTCCAGTCCTCACCTTCGGACACAGTATCTAAGTGTACTCAGTCACATTGACCAAAAAAGCTCGCTACCTAAATAAGCTGGCATGAAATGTGTGTAATAGAGAGCTGATCTCCTCACCAAGTTAGACACTTCTTTCATTTTCTTTTTAAGGCCACAGAGAAAATAGTAGAAGCTGCCAAAATCCCCCAGCCAAGGTTATTATCTGGAAATGGCATTTAATATTAGCACATGCTTGAAGTTTGCTCCAGGGAGCACAACTTCAGCAGCAGAGAGCTTGCAATCATCATCAGCAAGGCAAGATTGGAACAACTCATGTGAAGCAAGGTTTTCTGTATGACAATTGTGACCTTAGAGCCTTATCCAGGAGCTGCTCCCTCAAGCGGGGAAGGAGGGAGGCTCAGAGAAGATAGCGAGTGATCTCATGGGGCTGTGATGAGCAAAACTGATGGCTGCCCACCTTGCTCAAACGTGGGGAGCCCCAGCCCACCTGCACCCAGATACTGACATACATTCAGCACTGAACTAGGCAAATCCTGTTGCTGCTTTTACCAGCTGATCCTATCTCCTGCATTCACCAATAACTGGAATACAAAAAGGAAAATCTCTTGGATCAATCCAGTCCCCACCTCACAGAGGTCAGTCTGGTGTGAAGGTGTGTTTCTTTGCCGTAGCCAAGACAAGGCTTGAAGCAGTGCAGCCATCACTGGCATTGCACCTCATGTACCCCAGGGGCTGTCTTGGCTCCCTGCTTTCAAAGGCTCTGGAAATGTAAGCAGTGAACTCACAGTCTAAGGGAGCTGAGCCCTGTGCAAATGTTGTTAACTTCTGCATTAGGCT